GGAACACCGCTCCGCGTGGCACCGGGAGCTGGGCCTGGCACCGGGAACAAGGCTCGGAACAGGACCGGGAACACCGCTCCGCGTGGCACCGGGAGCCGTGGCACCGGAGCGCTGCTCGACACCGGGAGCTGAGCCTGGCACCGGGAATGCTGCTCCGCTCGGCACTGGCAGCTGGGCCTGGCACCAGGAATGCTGCTCCGATTGGCACCGGGAGCTCAGTACAGCACCGGGACACGGCCTCAGCCCCGGAGCTTCGCTCGGCACCGGGAGCCGGGCCTGGCACCGGGACACTGGCTTGGTGCAGCACGGGGAAGCCGGCTCCGCTCGGCACCAGGAACTGGGCCTGGCACCAGGAACCGTGCACCGCTTGGCACCGGGAGCTGTGAACGGCACCAGGAGTCTGGAACGGCGCCGGGAGCCCCGTTCTGCTCGGTCCCGGAGCTCCGCTTGGCACCGGGAGCTGGGCCTGGCCTTGGGAATCCTGCTTAGCACCGGGAGCTGGTCCTGGCCCCGGGAATTCTGCTTGGCAAATGGCTCAGGCCCAAGACTGGGCACCGGGAGCCCGTACCGGCACCGGGACACGCCGGGACTCCGGCTTGGCCCTGTGCAGCCCCCCAGCCACCCGGATCCCGGCCCAGGCAGTGCAGCCGGACACCGGGCGCCCGGCAGAGCCGCTGGGATCTCCCGGGCACCAGCTCCCGGACGGAGGCAGCGGCTGCTGTGGGATCCGTAGATAAGGAAGCCAGAAACCCCGGGACTCTACGACTGTAGCACTGGGATTCCCTTCCTTACCCCCTCTCCATCCCGGAGTGGGCGCTGGCGCCAGGCTCCATATGGAAAAGGTGCCGGGGCTGCTCCGCAGCGGCAGCTTTTCCTGCCTGGCCGGAGGCAGATCTGGCCCTGGGAGCTCTCTGGGTCCCCGGTCCCCTCCGGAAGCACCACACGGGGACACTCCTAGCTCCGGGATCCGCTGCTCTTTATTGTCCTTTACTGACCTCCTGCCACCCATGGGGACCTTCGTGGCACCCACAGGACGGGCACCCCCGTGGCGAATCCAGGCAGGAAGCTGCACTGCTCCCAAGCGGGCCCTGCCCGACCCATCCCGCCTCTCCGGGGCACCCAGAGCTCCGGGATTGCGGAGAACGGCCCTGTCCTCTCCCTGTGGGGCGGCCCACGGATCCCGGCCACCTCCGGCTTTCCCCCTGCGGCTGTCGGACTCTCCCTGGGCACGGAGGGCAGGGACAGGCTGGAGTCCAAGGGCTGCTCCGCGCGTTCGGAGCCTGCTGCTCCGGGAAGGGCTCTGGGAAGAGCTCACGCGGGCTCAGCTCACGGAGGCCGGATCCAGGCTCCCGTTGGCGGCCGCTCCACGGGCCTGTCCGGAGGCCGCCGCTTCCTCCCGCCTCCGCTCGTCCTTGGGGACAAGGCGGCTGCCGGGCAGCGCCAGGGGACCCTGCGGAAGGAAAATAACGGGAGGTGATGGGGGAGCCGGCGGGGCCGCGCGGGCAGCGCCGCGGCCGGGACCGCCGTGTCGCTCCCTAACGAATTGGCCGCTCCATGGGGAACGGGAGCACCAACAGACCGGGAGCGGCCGTTCCTCTGGGCTCCTGCTTGAAGCCGGCGGCTACGGCAAACCGCGGGCCTTCATCCAGGGCCGCGCGCCGCCACCGCGGGATCCTTCCCCAACGAGCCGCCGGCTCCAGGGAGAGCAAGTTGGAAGAGCGGGAAAAGGCCCCTCAGGACAGAACCGTGGGGTAAATGTTGTTTGAAGAGAGAAAACATGGAAAGGGTTTGGCCGCTTGGGAGAGAAGGGGCTGCTCGGAGCGGGTGCAGCCGCCATTCCCACCCCCAGGCTGCAGCTGGGATGTCCCAGCACTTCCCAGGCTGCTCCCGCCGCCCATCCCACACACACGGAGCCACCCACAGAGCACAGGCGGCTCCGGGGCGGCAGGACGAGCTCTGCTTCCCGTTCCCGGCGCTCTCCTAATGGCATCCAGACCCGGGGCCGAGCTGGCACTGCTGGGATGCCGCTGGAGCCGCTCTGCCCGTGTCCCGCGGCTCCTTGTGGAGCTCTGGAGGCCAAGGGCTGCCCGGAGACGCAGCCGCGCTTCCCGGCGGGAAGCTCCCGCTCCCGGCCGTACCTGTGCCGGGAGCTCGGTGAGAGGCTCTGTGGGCGGCGGGAAGACGTGGCCGGACAAGGTCCCTCTGTCCGGCGGCACCGCGTGGGGCAGGATCCCCGCCGGCGCCGGCTCCTCGAGGGCCAGGATGTCGATGGGGGCCTCGGCCGCGTCTCGCAGGGACTGCTCGAGGGCCGCGGAGGGATCGAAGAGCAGCGGCGACGGGGGGCACTGCAGCCCGTCACCCACCACGTCCAAATCCTGCGGGAGGGAGCGGCGGGAGCGGCCCGTGAGCCGGAGCGCCCACGACCCGCAGCCCGCCTCGTGCCGGACGGCCGCCGGGAAGGAGCACGGGAAGGGGCGGCTCCGGTGCTCCGGCTGCGCCGCAGGGCCGTGGAAGGGCATCGTGCCGGCCTCTCCGGCCACGCTCCGCGGATCACACCCGTGCCTGGCTCCAGGCGGGAATGGCAGAACCCGGGCCCTGGATTCACCCAGCCTGCTCCCGAAAGCCAGGCCAGGAGCTCCCTTGAAGGGGAGAGTGTTGGTGAGGGCGGTTACAGTCCTGGTTTTTATTTCTGACCTCAATAAACTCCCACAAATCCTGTTTCCATGGGCAGCAGCCCCCTGGGAAGGAGCACTGGCTCCCCGGCAAAGCCAGGGGCGGCATCCGTGACGCCCGGATCCGGGCGCCGCATCCCAGCCCTGCTCCACAGCGGCTCCGGCTCCTCCTGGGCAGCCCCAAAGGGCTCCGGAGGCAGCAGCGCGAGGTCTCCTGCTCCAGAGCGGCATCCGCTGCCCCTTTCCCTGCTCCAGGGCCGCAGGAAAACCCTCCTCCCGCAGCCCTTCTTGGGCTGCGCGATCCGCCGCTGACGGAAGCGCTCAGGAATCTTGGCGACATCCAAACCTCCAAGCAAGTGACGGCTCCTTCGGAGCACGAGCTCCAGATGAGCCCAGTGGTTTGGTTTAAACCAATCTGGGAGGATTTTAAGCACGTAGGCTTAAACATCCATGCAGGATATCAGAATAATCTGGGGATTAAAATCCTCGTGTATTTAATTCTCCATGGGGGAGAAAGAGGGAAAATAAAAATCCGCTTTTTACAAAGCCTTAAATGCAGCTTTAAACCAGCCCCTTCTAAAGGGGCAGTCCCCAATCATGTCCAAAACACTGGAAAATCCCCAAGCAGCTCCCAAACCCTTCCCATTTTTCCAAGGAAGGATCTTCCCCAGCCAACAGGAACAAAACGAGTTCCTGGCAGGAGGAAGGTGAGGAGCAACACCCGTGTTTGAGTCTCCCCTTGCCGGGCTGTGCTGGAGGAGGCTGCAGGGAGGGATTTTTTGGGGCAAGAACTTGTAGTTTAGGTCCCGCTTGCCCCAGGCTCCTTCTCAGGGCTGACCTGTCCCCCACACGTGCTCTGCCCCCTGCCCAACACGTCCCCTGCCCTGAGTATTTCAGGGCGACTACGTGACACGCGGTGAAAGCGGCAGCCTCTGCGGGAAGGGTTTGGGCGCCCGACCTTGCTCGCGCGCCGGGCCTGCTCACCCGGCGGCTCCCACTTACATCGCTGAACTCCAGGGGCAAGTTCTCCGTGGGCTGCAGCTCGGCGGCGCTCAGGTACAGCTCCGAGGGGGCAGCTTCCAGCTCCTCCGGGGCGGAGAGGACGCGCTCGGGCACGTACATCTGCGGCGGCAGGCGCAGGTGCAGCGGGCAGCACGGCTCCTCCGCGAGGCTCACGGGGACAGGCTTGTGGCACGGCGCCTCCTCGGAGCCTTGGCACGGCTTGAAGAGGGTCTGATTGGGGTCTTGACAGATGTCTGGGGAAAACAGTCAAGGGCAACTCGTACGGAATGGTCAAGTATTAAAAAACACCCATCCAGAAGCATCAGTCTCGCCAGCCACTCCGCTGTTTGGGGATGAGAGTGTTGAAAAACACAGTTCTCCTGCCCGGCGAGGAGTGCGGGCTCCAGAGCTGCATCCTCACCACCCAAATCCCCTTAATTACGTGATGGATAACGGGGATGCGGGCGCCAGGCTCGCCGTGGGGCTGGGGTGCTCGTAAAGCACCCGCAGAGCCGCAGATAGAAGGTGCTACAAATGCCTGGGCTCGCTTTTATTTGCAGCCATCCCTTTGAGAGGCATCTGCACAAGCCTCAACATCTACCGCGCGGCAGAGCGCGGCTTTTTCCAGGGCCAGGGATTTGGTTCCGGTATTTCTCTCCTCCCAGCACATTTTCTTTCCCTGTGGAAAAACCTATTCCTGCCAGAGGTGTAAATGGGATTTCCTGCCTTTAATCACAAAGGGAAACTCTGCTCGGATCGTAGCTCACTTCCAGGGCAATCGCCCAGCAGCAGCGAGTCCCATCTTTTTTTCCAGCAAAAGGGAACAAGAACCTTGTGAACCGACACTGCTGAAGGCAGCGGGATGGTCAACACAGCCAGGAAAAACGCGGGGTATCCTGAGTTCTCTACTTGCTATAAACCGAGTTGACTTCTTGGGCTGTTCACTGGGTGACAGGAATTCCACTTAAGTGACGATTTGGCGCTCGGTGCCAGGGCCAGTTTCAAGTGGGGAGCGAGTCTGGCGAGTCAGCGATGTCCGTACGGAACCCACCAAAATAACCGGCCACGCTGACGCTCTCGGCATTCGCCGGGCTCGTTTCACGGCTTCCTTTTTACACACAGCAGCCGGAGAGTGAAAAACAACAACCCCCCGCAACCTTTCAAACCCACAGAAAATGCAAAGGACACCGGGCTTAACCCAGTTTCTTAAGCTGACTGGATTTTCAATTTACCACTGAATTTTAACCTCAATGCGCGGAGGCAACTCGGAGCGCATTCCGAGCACAAATCCCAACAGGATTCCCAGACGGGCTTGGGGGAGCCCGTAATCTGGGTGAGAGCAACGCAGAGGAGCCAAATCTACCCGCTCCTGAAGGGCGGATGTGGACGGAAGGGTCTCCATACGAGCAGCAGCGTGGGGAGCCAGCTTTTAATCTCCCCGAATGCCTCCGGATCAAGCGCGGACTTTATCGGGAGCCAAAAAGCATGAGCTGCCAAGCTGCGAAAACCGCCAGCTCCACCTGGAGCCCAACACCCCAGCTGGGGTCGGTGCCTTTAATGCATTGTCACAAATAATCAGGCTGCCGAAAAGCAAACAAAGCCCAAGAGCCTCCCGCCGATGCGCAAGGCAGAGCAGGCTGCAGATGGTATCGGCTCGGCAGGACTAACCCAAGGAAAATCTTGTTTGTGTCAGTAGAAGTCAGCTGACACGAGGACAGAAAAGGCAGGTTTTTTCCCCCTCCCTTCTGGGCCTGCGCTGCTCCAAGTCCGGCAGCTGCAAGGAGCGACTTGCTCAAGCCGTTCGGATTTATCCTGGGGTTTATTTAAAAATATATGCTGGCTGCAGAGGAACAATGGCAGCTTCCTGCTCCCCGCGCGCAGCCAACTTCAAGGCAAAAAAGCCAAGGGGCTCCTCACGCCGCGGGCTGCCGGCTCCTTTCCGGACAGGGTGCCGCAGTTTATCCCGCCTCACGGCAGCAGCCGCCACTGACTCGAGGAGAGACACGGTTCAAACCCGTTGCCGGGCCTATGTGCCCGATCCCGCTTAGGAATCGCCCCCGGGCAGCGGGTACACCGTGGAGGATCCTGGGTTGCCGGTTCTCCTCCCCGGGGAGAACTTGGAGGCGGCCAAGGTCAGGTCTAAGAGTGGAGCAGCCTGAAGCTGTTTGGAGCCGCACGGCGGCCAGGCCGGCCCTGCGCAGGGCGGGATCTCAGTCTAAACCAGCAGCCCCTCTTGCGGAGCCCAAAGGAGGGCGGGTTGGCCCAGGCTGGAGGTGACTCCCTCCTTGAGGCCCTCCTCTATCTGCCGTGTGAGCAGCGCCTCAATATCAAATATCCCTTGCTATTCAGGCCCTGCTTGGATGGCGCGTGGCACCTCGGTACCCATCACCAAGCCTTTAAGAGCAATAACTCACAAACTAAGCCCCAACTGCCTCCTATCCTCTTTAAAACGGCCGGAAATTTGCTAGCAAAGCCCTCAGGCTTGATGAGGTTCTCCTGTTGCTTCCAAGTGAGCCAGGCCATTCCCTCCTGACACTCTGGAATGGCCAACATCCCACAGGAACGCATTCCTCTGGGCTCCTGCTTGAAACCAGCGGCTACGGCAAACCGATGGCCTTGATTCAGGGCCAGAATTAAGAGCAGGATCAGGCGCGTCTCAACCTGAGAACAGGCCTAGGAGCAGCCCGAGGCGGCAAACGGAAGGATACGGGTAAGGCAGTGCCTGGTCATGGGCAGGGACTGGTTGGAGCATCGCACGTCGTCGACGAAGGCCAAGCACCTCTGGCTGGAGCGGGTGGTGTGTGCCTGCAAACACGCGGAAAACAGGAGCTCAGAGCTGTCTGGGGCCAAATCCGGGGCTTTTCCAGAGAAATTCCCTCTCCTGCACAACTCTGCATTGTGCTGTCCAAAACACAGCGAGATTAAATCCACGGTTCTGCTTCCACGGAGCCACATCCTTCTCATGTCCTTTTCACTGAGGCTTTTGTTACACCGACTGAGATATCAGGCTCAGCCTCAATTTCAATACAAAGAACGTTATCACCTCGGAGGCTTGCCTCAAAGAACGGCTCATCCCAGGTTTATCTTCTGACCTTAAACAGGGAATGCTTCAAATTTACAAATGGCGATAAAGAAACTGCTGCACCCACATGACTGGGGGTGAGCTCCGAGGATAACGACGGCGCAATCCGCCCGAATCCCAAGGGATTCACCTGGGGAGCTCCAAGGAAGGGGGCAGCGGCTCCGGAGGGCACCCACCTGCTGCGCGGCGCCGTCGGTCGCCAGCACCCTGCGCTCCCGCAGCTGCCGGTGCAGCAGGGCCTCCACGCCGAAGCGCTGCCGGTAGCGCCGCAGGCACTTGAGGCGCTTCAGGTTCTCCCGCTCCTTGGCCATGAGGCCTTCCGGGCCCGTGAGGAGGCTGCTGCCTGCGGGGGAGCGAGGCGGGGATCAGCCAACACCCCGACCGCCCTCCTCCCGTAGTGTTATGCCAACACCCCCCCACTTTCAACGGGGCTTTTAAAGAAAACGATGCAGACTGTATTTTTTGGGGGTGCCATGAGCCAAAATCAGCAGGAAAGAGCTCCAGCTGCTGCCTAACGACACAGAAGTGAAAGCCCCTCGTGAGCCAGGAGGGAGCTCTGGACACACAAACACGTCTTCTGGTTAGGTAAGGGCGCGATAAAGCGGCCTCCATCCAGAAACTTTTCCCAGTTCCCACTGGGAAAATTCCCAATTTTCCCTTGCAGATGAGGAATACTTGGGCTGCCAGTATTTTTCAACGGGAGTTTTTAAAAGGCTTCGCCCCGTCAAAAGTATACAGTGATTTGCGCAGGCAGAATGTAAAAACTGTCAAATTTCAGCTTACTCGTGTGCAAATTCTAGCAGTTTCCCGTAAGCATTCCTAGCTGTAATTACAGGGCAACGCTCAGCATCTGTTTTTCTATTACTGGTTTGCAAAAACAAGTTCTAAAAAATTATTATGTATGAAACCTGCAGTTATTTTTACTGGAGACTGAACGGTGCAATGCCCTTTTCCGGGACGAGCTATCACGGAGGCATTCTTTGCACTGCCTCGCTTTCCGCCAGTTATTCCGTGCTGTTTCTCATCTGCTGAACTACAAATTCCTGCCTCCAAGAGCATATTCTGTGCAGTAAGAATCCCAGCTAAAGCCAAAGGGTTTTTGCAGGAGAAAGCTGCGTGTGTGCGGAGCAGGAATGTCACTGCAGCAAAACCAGCCCAACTGCAGACACAAACCTTTGCTGACACAGAAGGGACCTTACAGAAGAATCAGTTTTTTGTTGCTTACAAAAACCAAAAACAGGAAATCCCATACAAAAAAAGCACTTTTGTCTCAGGATTAACTTTGTACTCTCATTTCCTGACAACGCTGCTAACTTTGAAGAGCAAAGAAATCCAGCAACCTTCTAACCCAAATGATACCAATCTGCAGGCACGAGGCCAGCCACAAAAATACCTTCTTGGTCTCACTTTCAATCCCACAGTAATTCTCACTCTTACAAAGTTAGCGCTGCAATTAAATGTGCTTCTAAAAAAAGCAACAAAAAGGGCATTTTTAAAGGCTTTTCTCTCTGTTCTGGTGTGTTTTAGGGAAGCACTACGCCCTGTGGCCCGGGGAATATGGATTGGAGACTCCCTGTTCCAATACTTGCCTATGGCTTCGTGCTCTCCCTTGCGGCTGTGCAGGTATCGACGTTTCTTCTCCTTCAGAAGGTGCTGCAGTCGTTTGAACTGGTCGATGTACAGGGACTGCAGGCGGATCAGCTTCTCCCGCATGATTAAAGCCACCTCCTCGGCTGTGTATACCCCAGCGTGCCTGAAAAACACCCCAAACAACGGGGTACGTTTGGTCAAGATCCCTTCAGGGCTGTTCTTTCTCACTAACAGGGGCACTACCCGAAACACTGACTGAGCAGGGTTGGACAGATCAATGGATAAGGAGCAGAAATAGTCATTTTTTATTTATTTTTTTTAACTAAGAGCCTGCTGTTAAATACTTGGGTGGGTAGGCTACTCAGAACTGAAAGAGAATCGACAGCAAATATTTGACAGAAGAGCCACTACATCCAAGACTTGGAAGCATTTGTGGCTAACGACTCCCAGGGACACCAAATCCAACGGCAACACCTTAACAGCATCCTCTCTTTAACAAAACCCTGGTGTGACGCCGAATTCCGGCCGTTCTGCAGGACACATGTGAGCAGCAGGGAGCCACCCCCCCCCAACCTACTTTAAGGGATCCTCCTGGTCGCTGTCGATGCTGTCGGCCTCGCTGTCCGGGTCCCCTCGCCACGTCTGCTCCACCGTGAGAGGGTCCTGCTCACCATCGCTCCAACTGTCCTCGTCTGGAAAGACACGGATGCGGGAGGGATGGGATCTCATCCCGCTTCCCAGCGCTTGCCCCAGCGAGCTCGGAGACGAGCCGGCTGCCTCTCCTCCAAGGGAGGCTTCTCCCCAGCGCCAGGTGCACGAGCAGGATGGTACAGCAGGACAGCCAGCCATTAATTACGTGCAGCCAAATTACAGAGCTCCGGTGGAGCAACATTCCTGCCGACTGAGGAGCCACGAACCGGCTCCCCACCAAGGCACCCTGCAAGGTGGAAGCCTTAGGGAACAGACTCATCTACGAGCAGGGTTTGACGGGCACAGCGAGAGGCTACGGGAAGCGCCCAGACACTTCTACCTCACAAGGCCGAGAGAAAAGAGCCGACAGGTTTTGCCTGACGTTGTGATGTCTGCAAAGTGACTCTACAGTCACTGGTGGGCAAAACACACGGGGACATGGGACATTAGCTGTCTACCACAGACCCTGAGATTGCTTGGCTTGCCGTGGGATTTTGTAAGCGACATTCTTGGCATTTCCAAAAACAAAAGAGAGAGAATTCCTCGTTTTCTCTCACTGGTTTCACATTCAATTCTTACCTAGGATGCAACTGGCTTCGCTGCGGCTGCTCTCTGCAGCCTGGGAGCCCAGCTCTGTTTTGGCGTAGGAGCTGAGCTGGCAAAGCAGAGTCTCGCTTGCGGGTCCAGGGTTGGACTTTTTCAGCTGGGCTTGGAGAGCCAGGGCGTTGCGACGGGCGTGCTCGGCGCAGAACGACACGCTGGGCAGACACAGCAAGGGCACGTTAGGGCTCCAGGTTCTCCGGAGGGCAACAAAACCAACAAGTGACACGGGGAGAGGCACTCACTGCCGTTTGGAAGGGAAATCCTGCTCCACAGCCACCTCCCCCAGCAAAACCTAACACTGCCACTGACTGCTGGTGTCCTTCAGAAAGCCCAGAGAGCCCCAAGTGGCCCGCAGAGCACATGTCACCATGAAATGTCACCTCTGGCACTGACACTGGCAGCACCACAACAGCAGCGGGGGGAGAAAAGGGCTTTTTATTTCTTTTTTTTTCCATTTTTATTTCTATTTTTATTTCCAGGGGCAGCAAACCCAGCTGCCTCTGGAATTTCTGCTGGAATTCCAGTGTCCGTGCAGAGCACGTTGGCCCACGTTGGGATTCACCCTCTGTTACTGCAGAGGCACCACGGGCAGAATCAGGACTGTGAGTTTTCAAACGCGGGTGGCCTCGGGTAGGGATGTAAAGGCCGACGCGCCAATAACTGTAACCAGGCCCTGCTGGTGCCTTCACCGTCGTCAATAACAACTCTAGGTCCTTTCGCCCGGAACATTCTGCACACATCAAAGGCGCCAGCAGGTCATCGGCTCCGAATAAACTGGGAGCAGAGCGGCCAGGGGGAGGATTAACCCTAAGAGCACCTCGAGCTCCATGGGGGCAACGGCAGCTCCTGGGACAGCGGCCCCACAGTCCCACTGGCTCAGAAAGACTCCACGGGGACTCATTTTGCTGGATTAACAATGCTCAGAAGCGCAAAAACACCTTGCCTGAGGTTAGCACTAGTGCAACAGCGGAGAAAGGAAAAGGACCTGCCTCTTGTACCCCACCACTGTCTGCTCCCCACTTTTAACTCCACGCAGCGCAGAGCAGAGGGCAGATACTGACCCGTCCTTCTTCTCCGGTTTGGGGGCGGCATTTGGGCACCGCTTCCCGTTCTTGGCCGACACGTAGCTGCACTGCTTGAACGGGGCGCTCCTGTCCTCCAGGATGTGCTTGATGCAGAACTCCTGGCCCTCGAGGCGCGGCTGTGAGCACTGCCGGTGGGTAAAGGCACACAGGGGAGGCTCCTGCGGCCGCGGCCCCGGCGCCAGGCGGCCTCGGCTCGACGGCAGCACGTGGATCCGAATCCTGTTCATGCCAAAACCTGCGGGGGGGAGACGCCGGCCCACGTAAAAGAACCGAAACGGGTAAAAAAGAATGAAGAAGCTAGGGCTGGGCAGCTCCTCCCTGCATGGGACCCCTCGCACCCACCCCTCATGGGCCCCCCTGCGCACCCCCCGTTTAGGGCACCCCCTCCCCGGTGCCCCCCGGCTCCTTGGGTCCCGGACGCCCTTCAGCGCCTCCCAGCGCGGCTTCCAGCCCCGGAACGACCCTGGATGTGGCCCCCTTAGCCGGGTGCTGCTCCCGCCGCATCCCGGCGTCCATCCCCTCCTCCCGCTGCAGCCCCGTTCCCGGTCCTTCCTCCCGGGGCAGCCTCGTTCCCGCTCCCTCCTCCCAGTGCCCCCCCGCCGGTCCCGCCCCCCCTCCCGGTGTCCCCGGCCCC